ACTGCTGCTGCACACTCTGCTAAGGGGTTTATCCCCAAACACTAACAGTTTGTGTTCCCAACTTTCCAGGAGCCTGAATCCAGAGATGGAGCTGAAGAGATACTTCGGAGCCCGGGCGGTTCTGGGAGATCAGAGGTGAGATCCAGTGTTGTGAGATAGAAACCTCTGGTTTGTGTGGGAAAGCAAAACATCTGGCCAGGCCAGTCACAATCTGGGGAAACATTGTGGTGAGAAGGCCTTTCCTAGGCTCTGCCTGGGAGTCTTTGCGGGCGGAAGGAAGGGAAATGGTAGATTCTAGGTCCATAAGCCGCCTCCAGGGACGGATCAGTTTGGGATCTCTCTCAGCCCTCCCAGGACCATGGTCCTCCTGGATGGAGAGTTTTGACTGGCCCTCCAGAAGGGGCTGAGACGGAAGGGGCTTTGATCCATTCTTGGGCCGCTCTTTACCATTGCAGGCGGCTGACTGCTTGTCCCGAGGAAGGGCCGGCACACAGCCCTGCCCCAGGAGGCAGGCGCCCCGCTATGGCTTCCCCAGGGTCTTGCTGGGGAGAAATCAGTTGGTCCAAGTTCCTTTGATGGACCCAGACAAAGACTTGAATCTGCCTTTCTCACAGGCGTTGTGTGCATGTGAGGACAAGCACATGCCTTGACGTTAGATGTGGTTATTCCCTCTTCTGCTGCGTCCGTTTAATCTTTGCGCTCATCGGGAGGTGGGGTTGTAACGATGCTCACTTCAGCACTTGCTGGCTGGAGAACAGAGGCAGTTGCATTTTCCCAGTAAGGAAGCCCACATTCTCTCATTCCGAAACAAGGCCCTGCTTATTTTAACGACCGATGATCGCCTGGAGCGGGTGGGGAGGGCAGGATACATCAATAGGGCTTTGAACACAACCGTACCACCCATGTGGGCTTTGTTGCAGCTGCTTGGCAACTAGAATATAGACAGAGGCTCTGATGTATGAATTCACATCTTAAAGTGTGCTCCGCCTTTCCAGGCCAAGGCAGAGGCAGCGCCAGTATGTACGCAGCACATGGTTGACAGCACCCAAGGACACCTGGCCACGTCATAGCAGAACAGGTGAGAGGCCTCTTCCCAAAGCCTCTCACCCCAGAGACGCTCCTGTCTATTCTGATGGCATGTTGGGCACTGAGAGGCGGAGCTGAGCAGCAGGCAGATATATTGTGGCTGCGTTACAAGCCATCAACTTCTCTTCCGATGCCAGTGAAAGGAGGGGCCTGGTAGGGCACCAGTTGTCGTCTCACAACTTCCTTAACTGCCCGCCTTCTGGGCTCCTCGTACTGATCGTCTCCAACTTTGCACAGGAGAATTCCAGGCTTGTTTTAAGGCCGAAGAAAGGAAGAGCGCTTGCTCTACCCTGAAACGATAGGTGGACACGTCCACATAACCGCCCACATTCCTCTAGCCTGGAGGGGCCCATGCCTTGCGTGATGAGAGCGCCCAGGCTTGGGAACCTGGATAAGGGCTGCAGTGGACGTTCCGGTCCGGTCTCGAGGGGGATCAAGGCCATCCAACTCGAAGGGGGCGGGCGGGGGGTGAAAAAATCCAAGCTTAGCAGAGTTTAGCTTCTCTCCAAATGATAGGCCAGGGCTTCTCAGCCGTGGCAACTTCAAGACACGTAGAGTGGATTCTCCGTTCTGGCTGGAGAATCCTGGGACTTGAAGTCCACGTACCTTAAAGTAGCCGAGGTTGAGAAACGGAGGCAGACGCTTCGCTAGCTTCCGGATTATCATTCCACTGAGGCTGACCCCCCGCTTTCTCTCCCCCCCCCAAATCTCTCCAGGTATATCCATGGTCCTTTTAGAAACAAGGCATAGAGAGCAACACTTCGCCTTTGAGCACAGCCGGGAGTACCAGCTGGTGCAGTTCAAATTCTTGGATGCCGTGGAGTCGATGGACCCAAACAATCTTGTGGTAGGTTTTCCATCCGGCACGCCCAAAGTCACGCATTCAACTGCAGCCATTGGTTCCATCCCCGCTTTGACCTCTGGACTTGCCCAGGATTTTGTATTGTCCAGCCATGCCCAGCTGATGCCCCCTGCAAAGGTGGGTGTCCTACCATTCCCCTTGGGCCGCCCCTCTAGGCTGTAGGTATCGACTGACCCCCTTGGGCCGGAGCTGTGTCCAGCCCACTCTGCACGGAGACCACCAGCAGAGGCCTGGTTTGCGTGCCAAAGCCCCTCAGCCACGCAAATGTCCCTTGACGACTCTCATTTCAAGGAGAGGCAAAAGCCAAAATGCTCTGAGCTGCGTCCTCTGAGAGACTGTTGTACTTAAAAGGGATGTAGCCTTCTGACTAAATCTTCCTCTCGGGGTGTGCGTGTGTCTGTGATTCTAACCAGTACGGAGTTATGTTACATCCTTATAGAAGGATCTTGAAGCCTGGTTCTTCCTGCTATGGTAGTTCTTTTTTTATTATTATTATTGTGGGGGCTTTGGATGCCGAAACGGTTTTTCTCCCGCCGTTTCTGTCGCTTCCGAGCACCATCTCCACATTCGGGGCCCTGCGCATCCCTGCGATGGGCACCTGGTCCCTCTCTCTGAAAAGACCGAATCTCTGCTGATGCCGAGAGCGGAGCAGGGCAGCCAGAGTCACAGCTTGCGTAGGGCAGAGAAGAGGCTCCCCTGGTCCTCATGCATTTGCAGCCCCCCCCCGAAGAGACCAAGACTGCGGATGGGGTTGAAGGGAGTTCAGCGCAGCGAGAGCTAAGCCAACACTTGTGCTATATTTAAACCTTACCATCTTTGAGGAGAGGACGTCTCGTTGCCCCGGGGCCTCCGGAGAACAGGCTCTGCTTTGAGACTTTCAGGGAACCGGTCCAGCTGGGTTAACTGGTGAAGAGTTTGATGGTAAATACAAAGCGTGGAAAGGCCAAACTGGTTCTTGGCCTAATATTAGCCAGATAATCAAGACATTGAGCTTGGAGAGCTCCCCCCTCCCTCTCTCCCCCCCAGCCAATTGGAGGGCTGGGGAGATAAAAGGCCTTTTGTCCAGGAATGACTCCTGACTCTCCCCTCCGCCCCCCCCTCCCCTTGCTCCCCAAGGGGGAATTCAGCGCAGTTGAGGAACCTTCGGGTTCTCTGACAAACAGGAATGCCAGTTCTTGGAAAACGGGAAGGAGCGTGGCTGCTTTTACACAACGGCTTGTTTTCAGCACAGTCCGTTGAGGATCAGTAATAGGGGACACACAGGAAGCTGAACACGGGGTGCTTTGCATAACTGATGGCAGCAGCGGAAAACATTATTTCAGTGGCAAATAGACACACGAGGCGCCCCTGAAAATCAGTCCCATGTCTGAATGGTGAATATTTGACTTCTGAAGAATGGTTCCTATTTCGTTCCATTTACTGAACGTGGACGTCGTAAATCTGAACTTGGAGTGGGGGTGGAGCGGAGGTTGCAGTAAGAGAAGGGAAGAGGAAGAGGAAGAGAGGGAGGTGGCTCTGAAGCCCACGGGAACAGCCCAGGTGGGGGGTGGGGGGGCCAGGCAGGGGCCAGGGATGCAGGCAAGCAGTCGCTTTGCTCTCCTTCCGGAGCCCGCTGAATTTGGAAGCCCCCCCCCCCCCGATGCTGCTTTGGGATCGGTGGGTGGTGCGACGGGGCCCGTTTTCCCCATTCCCCCCCAGGAACCCCCCCCCTCTTTGCTCTCCGGCTTCGTTCTCAGCTGCTGCTCCAGATGAATCCTTACCACGTGGACTCGCTCCTGCAGCTCAGTGACGTGTGCCGGATGCAGGAAGACCACGAGATGGCCAGGGACCTGATTGGTAAGAACCGGGCAAGGGTGGCCCATGGAGGGAGAGGGAAGGGGTTGGGGTCCGGGGTGGGGGGGAAATGGCCCTTGGCCACCGTGGCTCTTTTGCAGAGAGAGCCCTCTACACCCTGGAGTGCGCCTTCCACCCCGTGTTCAGCCTCACCAGCGGCACCTGCAGGCTGGACTACCGCCACCCGGAGAACAGGTGGGTGCCCACCCGGGGGACTCGGAGGGAGGCACCTACTTCTTGACCGGTGACTGCTGGGTGCCAGGGGCCCCGCTTGAGGCCCTGCTGGGCTGGGCTCCACTTCCCCCCTCCGGTCCCTGGAATCACGCCCCTTCCCTTCCGCCGCAGAGCCTTCCACCTGGCCCTCTTCAAGCACCTGCTCTTCCTGGAGAGGAGGGGCTGTCCCCGGACTGCCCTGGAAGTCTGCAAACTCCTCTTGAGGTGAGGGCTGCTGGGGGGGGGGGGGCTCTCCCGGTCCCCCCAAACCAGGGGGGGAAGGGCTGGGGGCCGGGGGGGGGGGGGGCAGTTGCTGTTCCCAGGGACGCCAGCTGGTCCTCCCTCTGCCAAAGGCCAGCGAGCTTCCCTTGGGACAGCTGACCTGGAAGTCATGTTCCTTTTATCTCCCCCCCCCCCCGAAAGCCTCGACCCAGAGAATGACCCGCTCTGCATGCTGCTCCTGGTGGATCTGCTGTCGCTGCGAGCGAGAGAGTACACCTTCCTCACACGCCTGTTCCAGGAATGGGAGGTGAGCAGGGCCCTCCACGGAGTGGGGCAGCCTGTGTGGCTCAGTGCCCCCCCGGTCCCCTTTCTGGGCCAGAGAGGGGGGGGCCTTTCGGCCACCTGATGCCCTCAGGCGCCGCTACCACCTTCTGCCCTGCGTCCTGTCAGTTGTCTCTTAATTAGAGAGCTTCAAAAGAACGAAGCCAGAAAAGGCTGGAGCAGCTCCGGTGCCCCTCCTGATTTTAACCCTGCCGGGTCACTTTGATGCCGGCCTGCCCTCTTTTGAAATGGGGCGGGCAAGGGGGCGGGGGGGGCAGAAAAGGCAAGAAGCTGCAGCCACGTGGGGGCTCCCAGGTCTGCCTGGACAGGGTCCGAGCTGCTCCCCCAGCAGCGGTGGCCACTCTGCAGGGTCCCTGGGCGATGGGAACTGCCGCTGGCCTCCTCCTGGGGGTTCGCCAGGCAGACGCTTGGAGGCTTCCCCGGGGTTTGGAGGGGGGTCTTTCCTGAAGACCCAAGTCCTGCTTCCAGCCCCCCCCCCCCTTCTTCTCCGTCTCTCTTCTACAAGTCTGGAGTTGCCTCTGCAAACAGGTCACACCTGGGTCTCCTCTTCCCCCCCCCCCCCAATCTTAGGGTCATCGGAATCTGAGCCAGCTGCCCAATTTTGCCTTCTCGGTCCCTCTGGCTTATTTCTTTCTGAGCCAGCAGGACGAGCTCTCGGAGGCAGAGCAGAGCCGAGCCCGGGAGCAAGCGGACGGCCTCATCCAGCAGGCCCTGATCATGTTCCCCAGTGGTGAGTGAGACCCCGAGGCCCGCCCAGCCCGGCTCACGGGCAGCGGAGAGGAAGAGGGGCCCCTTGGGGGGGGAGGGGAGACAAGGGGGGGGGCGTTGCAATTAGGGAAAGCTGCCAGATGTCCCATCTTAGACACGAGCAAAGATGAATCCCTCTTTACACACAAACGCCCCCCCCCGAACAATGAAATCTTGCCCTGACTCTCCCCCTGCCCCCGCCCCCCCCCCAGCCCTGATGCCCCTCCTGGACCGGTGCAGCGTGCAGCCCGACCCCGTGGTGGCCTCCCATGCCTTCTTCGGACTGGAAGCCCAGTTGAGGTAAAGGGGAGGGTGGCCCTCTGCAGGACCACAGGGGGGGGGGTGTCTGTGTTGGGGGGGCAGGAGCTCCCGAATGGGGGTGGCCACAAGGCCATTTAAGCCAGAGATGGAGAGGGGGAGGGGGGTCAATGAAATCTTGCCGGTGGGGCAGGCGGAAAGCAAATATCTGCAGCAAATTTAGGCAACTTCCTTGACGGCCGGTGTGGCTGGGGGTTCAAGGTGGTGGAACCTCCTCCTCCCAGGGGAGGGACTCAAATTTTGTAACAACCGGTTCTGTGGGTGTGGCCAGATGGGTGTGGCCGTGTGACTGGGTGGGCGTGGCTTTTTTGCAGCAAGGCCCCCCCCCATATTTTTGGGCCTCGGGGAAGCCTCCTGGGGGGGGCGTTTTTGCTCCCAGAAGGCTTCCGTGTGGCCCAGGAAGGAAAAAAATGAAGCCTGGAGCCGACGCACGGAGGGCCCCCTGCCTCCCCCCCCCCCCCCCC